CATGGGGGACACTGGGGGACATTGGAGGGACATGGGGGACATTGGAGGGACATGGGGGACACTGGGGGACAAGGGGACACTGAAGGGACATTGAGGACAAGGGGGATGTAGGGGACACTGGGGACACAAAGCCACCACCACGACTGTTTTTGGGGGGGAACCCCAACTTTATTTGGGATGACGTCATCAGGCTCCAGGGCGGGGTCACCGCTGCTTCTGCAGGGGAGGGGACAGAGGTGACCCCTGGGGACACTTGGGGACAGCGGGGGGGCGGTGGCACCCCATAGGGACAGGGATGGGGACAAGGACGTTACCTTGGGGTCCTGGTCGGGTTGTGGGGCTGTGGGGGGAAAAAATTGGGTGAGGGGGAGCTGAGGGGACGCTGGGGACATTTGGGGACATGGGGACAACACTCACGTGTGGGGCAGAGCCAGCGCCAGAGCCCGCAGAGGACGAAGGCCACCAGGCACAGCCCCACTGCGTCCTCCAGGCCCGGGGTCACCGTGCCTGTGGGGACAGGGGACACCTGAGCCACCACCACAGTCCTGGTGGCCCTGGGTGACCCCAGAACTGGTCCCGATGTCCCTTGGTGTCCCCAAACCTGGTCCTGGTGGCCCTTGGTGTCCCCAAACCCAGTCCTGATGTCCCCAGCCCCAGTCTTGACACCCTTTGGTGTCCCCAAACCTGGTCCTGGTGGTCCTTGGTGACCCCAAACCTGGTCCCAATGTCCCTTGGTGTCCCCAGTCCCAGTCTTGGCACCCTTTGGTGTCCCCAGCCATGGTCCCAGTGTCCCCAGCCCCAATCCTGGTGTCCCCTAGGACCTCCAAACCATAGTCCCAATGTCCCTTGGTGTCCTCAAACCTGGTCCTGATGTCCCCAGCCCCAGTCTTGATGACCCTTGGTGTCCCCAACCCCAATTGTGGTTTCCCTTAGACTCTCCCAACCATGGTCTGGATGTCCTTTGATGTCCCCAACCATGGTCTTGATGTCCCCAACCCTGGTCCTGGTGGCCCTTGGTGTCCCCAAACCTGGTCCTGATGTCCCCAGCCGCAGTCTTGACACCCTTTGATGTCCCCAACCCTGGTCCTGATGTCTCTTGGTGTCCCCAACCCCAATCCTGGTGTCCCTTAGACCCTCCCAACCTTGGTCCCAATGTCCCTTGATGTCCCTGCCCCTCACTGTCCCCTAATGTCCCCCATGTCCCCACTCACCGACCACCTCCAGGGTGACACGGGCGCGGATGGGGACGGCCAGCGCCGCGTGCGTCACCTCGCAGGTGTAGACGTCCCCGTGGTGCTGGGGACGCGCGGGGACCAAGCGGACGCCGCTGCTGCGCCCGAAGGTGCCGTCGGGTCCTCGGCGGTGGCCCGAGGTCCAGCTCATGGCCACCGCGTCCTCGAGGGGCAGTGGCGTCCCCGAATGTCCCCAACGGTGCCACCGCACCCCCACGTCCAGGGGGAAGTAGCCCGAGGTGTCGCAGAGCAGCTCAGCCTCCGTCCCCACGGCCACCACCAGGGGTGTGGGGCGCAGCGTCACCTTGGGGGACGCTGGGGACAACGGGGGGGACACATTGGTCTGGGTCCTGTATGGCCACTGTGGTCCCAGTATGGGAATGGCCACTATGGACCAGTATGGCCACTATGGACTGGTCCCAGTATGGGAACAGTAAAGGGATGGCCACTATGGGGTCCATATGGAATAATGAACCGGTCCAGTATGGTCCATATGGCCCAGTATGAACCATTTGACTCCCAGTATAACCCCCCTAGACTGGTCCTTTCCCCATATACAGATACTGGGGGATACTGGGACCAGTTCCTACCCCTACTGGGGACCATATGGGATCATGAACTGGTCCAGTATGGCCCATATGGCCCAGTCCTATATGTCTGAATCCCAGTATAACCCCCCTGCCTATACATCCAAATCCCAGTATAACCCCATCCTTTACCCTATACAGGTACTGGGGGATACTGGGACCAGCTCCCATCCCCATAGGGTCCACATAGGATGATGGACTGGACCGGTATGGCCCAGTATGACCCATTTAACTCCCAGTATAACCTTCATTTTCCCAGTACAGGCACTGGGAGATACTGGGATCCACTCCCATCCCTATGGGGTCCATATAGGATGTGAACTGGTCCAGCATGGTCCATATGGCCCAGTCCTATACATTCAAATCCCAGTATATCCCCCCTACACTGGTCCTTTCCCCATATACAGATACTGGGGGATACTGGGACCAGTTCCTACCCCTGCTGGGGACCATATGGGATCATGAACTGGTCCAGTATGGCCCATACGGCCCAGTCCTAGGCATCCAAATCCCAGTATAACCCCATCCTTTCCCCAGTATGAGCACTGGGGCCAGTTCCTCCCCCCATAGGGACCCCGTAGGTGCCCCCCAGGTCCCATATGTCCCCCAGTGCCACCCACCGAGGACGCGGACCCACAGCTGCTGCTGGGCCTGGCCGTGGGGCAGGAAGACGGCGCAGATGTAGGCGCCCTCGTGGGTGACGTCCAGGGGGTCCAGGCGCAGCGTCACCTCCTGGACGTG